CGGAACTCAAGACTCAAAAACATCTCCTCTTCTCTCAACTCAAGAAAGTTCTCAACGAAGACGTCATTCGGCGCCGCAATCGAGACCTCCAGTGGTCGGCCGACGCTCTCTACGCGGCCGCAGAGCTGCCGCCGCCCGCACCCCCTCTCGGCCTCCCGTTTGCGCCGCCCTTCGCGCCGAACGCCTTCTTTCGCGCGCAGACCTCTCAACCACAATATAAGCCGACGTTTGCGGCGACGAAAGCGCCGCCTGTCGTACGGAAGCGATCGCACGAACAGACGACGACACCGACGACGACGACTGGACGACAGCCGCACGACGACTACAAGAGCGTCACATATACGCCGCAAATGGGCAGTGAGTATCACAAGAGCGCCGCTATGACTAACACTAATGATTGGTGTGTTGTTTGAACAGAAATGGAGTTCGCGACCAATCAGAGCGCGTACTACGGAATGATGACGTCATCGGGAAATCGCAAATATTTTTAAATAAAAGCTTTAATTACAAGAATTTACAATAAAATTAAGTGGACTTCGAGTCCGCGAGACCGTAGAGGCGGTCGATGTCCATCTGATAGAACTCTTGGATTTTGATTCGCCGCAGTTTGAGAGCCGCCGTCACGAGACCCGAGTCCGGCAGCCACTCCTCGGCGCACAACAGGATCTTCGACGGAATTTCCGCTTTCATGAGACCAGACTTGCGGCCGAACTGCTGGACGGCGGCGAACACCTCGGCGGCCATCTGCGGGTCTCGACACCAGTCCTTGAAGGTGAGGCGCGCGGGTTTTGCGAGTCTTTGCGCCAAAGCCTGCATTTGCTTCTCGTTGGGAACGATGAGTGCAATTAAATACGTCTGAAATGAGTTTCCATAGCAACATATGTTGTCGACGAACGGACACGACTTGAGTTCGGCCTCGATCTGCGCGCAGACGACAGAGGGTTAGACAAAGCGACGCAAAGACGAAAGACATACCTTTCCGAGCGAAATGTATTCTCCGAACTGGAGTTTCACCAAATCCTTCTTACGGTCAATGATGCGAACGCTTCCGTCCGAAAGGATTTCGCCGATGTCTCCCGTGTGGAACCAGTGGACGCCCTCCTCTTCGCGGTACGACTCGCGCGTCAACTCCGCGTTCTTGTAGTAGCCGTTCGTGATGGAGGCGCCTCCCAACACGATCTCGCCGCGGGGGTGCGGCTTGTCCTGCACGCGATAGTTGCCTTCCGGCCAGTCGACGAGTTTGAGACGCACGCCCTCCAGAGGGGGTCCCACGCGACCCACACTCAAGTCCTCGAGATCCATAAGAGTGGCCGAAGCCGTCGTTTCCGTCAGTCCGTAGCCTAAGAGCGGGAAAGGGGTTAGAGAGCGGACAGCAGTGGACAGGGAGGGCTTACCTTGGAGGAGACGCACGTTGAGACACGTCCGGATGAATTCGTGCGTTTCGGGCGCGAGCGGCGCCGACCCCACGGCCAGCAGGCGGACCCTCCCGCCCAACAAAGCGCTTATTTTGCGACAAACGACGCGATCGACGATTGGCTGCGGAGAGAGAGCGAGAGTTAGAGAGACTTAGAGAGTGAGAGTCACGTGACTCACGGTTTGGAATCCCTTATTGGTCCAGAACTTCTTGTATTCGATGGCGAAGTCGAAGAATGCGCGCGAGAAGTGGCCGCTGGAGTCCACCTGTTCGCGGATTCCTTTGCGGATGCGGTCGAGAATGAGGGGAACGGCACACAGAACGGTCGGCCGGAGGAGAGTGGCGTCGCCTTTGACGCCCTTTTTGACGCCCGTCGACTTATCGGTGAGCGTGAGAGGCGTTCCGAAGCCAACTGTCATTCCGAGAGAGAAGAAGAAGAGTTCGGCCGCGAGTTCGAGAACGTGCGCGAGAGGCAGGTATCCCAGGTAGACGTCTGCTGGGGAGAGCGCGTGCGCGATCGTGAAGAAGGCGCGGATGGCACTCAAGAGGTTCGCGTGGGTGATCTGCACGGCTTTCGGAATTCCCGTCGAACCGGAAGTGTACATCAAAACCGCCGTGTCTTCCGGTCGCGGCTTTTCGCCCCTCAGGTCGGCGTTCGCGGCGCCCAACGCCTCCACCGCAGAGAAGGCCTCGAAGCGCACGCGTCGTGCGTCCGCCGCCGACACGAGCGCCGGGAGGTTTGGGGGGCGCGCGCCCTCCATGTAGACGACGAGGCGGACG